CCCAAAGGGAAGGCTATTACTTCAAATGCCAAATGTCATGTTGAATGCAATGCTTTAAATTAGATCCCAAACATTCTATTAAGATGCGTCATGCATACAAGGATCAAAATATCAAGATGTCTGATGCCCAAAGTCCAAAGTTAGGTATCAATGCATATCGATATTATTGATATTATATTTTTTCTCTTTCTTTTTTACTTTTTATTTTATAAGCTTTTAAGGGATGCCAAATATCATCTCAAAGTTTTAAAACTTAAAAAAAAATTATTTCTAGTGATATATTACCTTGTATATACTATTATATTTCTTATTTCCTTGTTTAGCTTCTGGTTACCAAAAATAAATGGTTTCTCGACCTTTCAGTGACGATTCAACGTTGCAAATATGGAGTCGATCTATGGAGATTCAACGTTGCAAATATGGGATGATTTGAAACAACGGTTCTCTGCAAATTGATAGCAATCTTTCAAATCCAACGTGAAATCTCTAATTTGCGGCAAGAGTAATAATCTGTTTCACTTTATTTCACTAAGCTAAAAACTTTGTGGGATGAATTAAAGCCCTTGCCTACCTACCTGTTCCTGTGGCGTCATGAATTCACTTGTTTATTACATTCAACAGAATCGGGTCATCGATTTTTAATGGAACTCAATGAGTCTTGCATTGCTCTAGAAGGACAAATCCTCATGATGGATCCATCTCTTGACATCAATCAGGTTTTTCCCTCATTTTACAAGAAGAATGGCAACGTGACATCATGATTGGTAGCACCTATACAGATTTAGCTGCACTTTTTACCAGAGATGTTACTATTGATAACAGAGATGCAATGACACAAATTAAAGAAGGAACAGGAAGATGAGAATAACCCACTTATGATTACTATTTTTATGATTGTGCTTTCAATTTTTTGTAGCGATCAACTTCATGAATCTGCTCTGAATTAATTTGAGAAAAATCTGAAGGCAAATTTTCATTTTATAAGTTTGAATCGAATACGAAAAGTCATGTATTTCAGGGGTTTTTTCTCTTATATATTGAGTTTTAGTTTTGTGAGAGACGAGTGATACATTGGGTGTATTTTTGGGGCTAAGGGTTTTCTGTGAGAATACAATTCTGTATTTCTTCTACATTACCAACTTTATAGTAGATTTCTGTTCCTCATTCGCCTATGGACATAGGCTATAATCTGAACCATGTAAATATGTGTGTTCTCTGTGTTTGTTTCTCTTTGTCTCGACTTTTACTTTCAGCTTGGGTGCCATTCGAATATGTTTTCTTGGATTTTTTACAACAACTATGGATGGGTTGGACATACAAAGGATAAGTGTTATAAGCTTCATGGGTATCCTTTAGGTCACGGTCTCTACAGGAAGGATGGTTCACATTGTAATGCAAACCAAGTCTCAAGTGAAAGTAATAGAAACCAATCTACTAGAAACTTTCCCTTTACTCTAGAGCAATACCAACAGCTAATAGCACCACTTAACAAGTCCTCCCACTCTGCCAACCTTGCAGGTATTTCTTAATCAAATAACATGTTATCAGGTATCTCTTTTGGTCTCACTTCAATTTTTCGGTTCGGTTTCGATCAATTCGATTTTTTAGTTTTTTTTTTGCTCACCCCTTTTCATTTTTCAAATGCTCATTCCATGAGGTGAATAGTATATGCTATTGATGTGTCTCTGGTGCTCGCAATTGCGATTACTAGAACATGGGCATATCATGTTTACAGATGCAACAAAATAATAATTATCTAAAACTCCGCTCACTTTTTTTCATTTTAAATAACTTTTCAAAGCCTCTAGATACCTTGTCAGAGATTTAGAAGTGTCTAAAATCTGAAAAGTTAAAAAGATATTAAAAGTGTCTAAAATCTAACAAGAGGCATAGATGCTTTTCTACTTTTTAGAGGATCTAAATCCATAATTTTGTTTGTGTTGGATCAACCCTTTACCATTTGAAATTTATTGATTTTACTATTTTACCCCTAAAACATACTATTTGGAAATGTTGAATTCAATTCACATTATCTCATAAAAAATAATTTTCAACCTCAAAATAATATTGAAACAATACAAATAAAAAATAATAAATTACTAATTACTAATTAACAAATGAAATGATTAAAATTAAAAAAATAGTTAATGACTATAAAAATGTTAAAATAATTAATAATTACTAATTAATAAATTACACAAATAAAAATTAAAATAATTTTTAAAAATTAATAAAATAATTAAAAATTACTAGTTAATAAAAATAATTAATAAATAATAAATAGCACAAGTAAATTTAATAAAATATAATTAATGTTTAATAAAAATATTAAAATAATTAATAATTAATAAAAATAATTTATAATTAATAATTAATACAAATATTATTATTATTCACCAAACCATCGTTGCTGCATGTTGTAGCAGGAGGGAGGGAGAGGGAGAGAAAGAGAGAGAAAATAGGGGAGAGAGAGAGAGAGCGGCCGCTACAACTTGCAGCGGCGGTGGTGGTGGTGGGAAGACAAGGGGGAGAGAGAGAGAGAGAGAGCCGCTGCAAGTTGCAGTGGTAGTGGTGGGAAGATAGGGTGAAGAGAGAGAGCGAGAGAAGATAGGGGAGAGAGAGAGAGATCCGCCTGAAGTTGCAATAGCGGTAACGGGAAGACAAGGTGAAGAGAGAGAGCGAGAGCGAGCGAGCGAGAGAGAGAGAGAGAGAGATGATAGGAGGAGAGGGAGAGAGCCACCGTTGCAAGTTGCAACAGCGATGGCGAGAAGACAAGGCGAAGAGAGAGAGAGAGAGAGAGAGAGGATAGGGGAGAGAGAGAGTTGTGGTGGCGGTGATGGGAATACAAGGTGGAGAAAGAGAGAGGGAGAGAGAGGGAGAAGAGAGAGAGAGCGAGAGAGAGAGAGAGAGAGAGAAGATAGGGGAGAGAGAGACTTGCGGTGGCGGTGATGGGAATACAGGGTGGAGAAAGAGAGAGAGAGAGAGAGAGAGAGAGAGAGGGAGGAGAGAGAGAGAGAGAGAGAGGGAGAGAGAGAGAGAAAAGAGAGGTCGAATGGGGAGGGGTAGTTTTGACTTTTGGCCACGTCTGAAACTCGTCTGAACGCATTAAGTGACTAGGCTCAGTCAAAATTTCAGATCTAAAAAAAGTTTTCAGACCCTATTTCAGATACAACATCAAACAAAGGTGGCATCTAAAAAGCAACATTTTCAGATTCAAACGTTTGAAAAGTGCAATCAAACACCACATTACATTTTATTTGCTTTCAAAACAAACATAGCCTTATCAGTAGATGAATGGTTTCTGCAAATTTACAATACAACCCCTGCATTTGAGTTTGCCATGAACCCAAAATGGGTGATCATGAAATCTATTATACCATCCCTCTATATGAGATTTGGGGGGTTTTTCTCTTCATCCAAATCGGCTTGGGACCTTTGGGTTGCAGAAGAAAAAATATTTTTTGTTTCTTTTTTTTCCTTATTTTTAAATGCTCATTTAATAGAGGAACAAGGTTATTTTGATCATTAAAAATAATTAGTGCGCTAGTGGGACAATTGTTAATGATCATTAATGTTAATAGATGGAATGGGTCAGAGTAAGTTCAAGAGAAATGGGTAAAGGGGAGTTTTAAGTAATAACCCTAATAATTTTCCACATCCCATCTCAACTCATTTTGAAACACAATACAATAGAATCTCCTATAACAAAAACTATGCATTCAACAAGCACGGGCCAACCATGGTTTTTAAAATCAACCCAGAGACCGAATCGGTCAGGGGTCCAGTTACTGGGCCGAATGGTTTGACCATTCAAACCGAATGCTCAGCCTGTTCTAACAAAAATTAAAAATAGTCAAAAATGTTCGAACGATTAATTGCCCGGTTCAACGGTTCACTGACCAAAATCAACGATTTTGGGAAAAAATCCATTTTTTGGGGAAAATGGAACCGGTCACTTGGTCACATTGGGAATATCTCCCTATGAATTTAACATACATACAAAAGGTGTTCCCAATGTGCAGCTTGGACACCATGTGATGCAGAGTTTTTACTTGGAGGAGATCTGGGCTCTTTTAGTTCAACCATTACTATAAGGGAGTAATATGTGCTTGAAGTTTCCCCTTGTAGTTGGTATTGGGCTCCATTCGCTTTTCAGTTATTTACCCAGGTAAATGCAGTTGTCATTTTACCTAGATAAGTACATTTATCCATGTTCTTTTATTTTTCATGTAAATAAGATAATTGCCATTTTAACCATAAAAATCCATTATTAAAAAGAAAACATTGGTTACCACCACTGTCATGGTTGGAACAACTTTGTAATATTTTTGTTTGATTTGTAGTTGCATAATAATAACAATAATAATAATAATGCATGTTAGTTGCTTTCAATTTTTAAAATCTCTTGAAATGCCGACAAATGCAATTATGCAAATCACCTAATTCATACCGGATAATTTTGTAGCCGTGATATACTATGCCAATTCAAGAGCCGATCACCCTTGAAGGCAGGAATTTCTATGCATATTCGTAAACCTATCATATGTTCAAGATGCATGGCGTTGTAGTTAATATTCAAATGAAATATTTGCTATAGTTATAACAAGATTCAGCAACTAAAGAGCAATAGACAATATTCTTTTTGTAACTGTTTGCTATATGCTGATAAAAATAGCTCCTCTGGCTGTAAATATAGCAGGTGTGCAGATGTTAGAATGTTTCGATTAAGAGAAACTGAGAAGGTGATCAGACAAAAAGATGTCAGCTAAACGTTCCAAATCCTAATACTGTTTAACTTTGGGATTGACAACATCTAAATCTCGATTACCAGAATGAAAAAAAAAAAAAAAAGAAAGAAAAGAAGCCTTACGGTACCACGGTGGGGCAGTGTAGAAAACCATATTTAGCAAATTGAAAGTTGAAACTAGAGACGGGAGAAATCCAACAAAATTGGTCCAGTTCCCTCAAAGTAGCTTTTGGCGTCCCCTACTTCAAAGATTTTTAAGTCATGATGAAATGGACTAAAGATCACACTATTTACACACAACGTCCATCTGATACAGAAAGACAGCCCAAATTACATTGGGATGAAGGCAAGGAGAGACACCAGAACAAGAAAGAAAAATAAAAGACCATTGAAATACCTTTGCATGTTTTGACGCTTTGTTCTTACTTCTTATTAAAACACTAAAACTTTTCACACCATAAAGAATATCAGAGTATGCATATCTTAAAAACCTTTCTGAATAATACATATTTACAAGGTGGAAGTTCTCACGCATTCAAGCATTATCCTGGCACGAAATAATCCATCTTGTCCACAGGGAGATTCAGAACTGATGTTTCAACCTGTACCATACAAGATCAGGGTGTCATTTCATGGTGAAATTTTATACTATAAGAATTAATGGCCTTTGAGAAAGAAGTCAAAATTCTTACTCCCTTGCAACTTATCCCAGAAGAAAGATTTCTCCATCGAACAGAAATGTGTTCAATAAAGGAATTATATGACAATTTTGCATGCAGGTAAATAGCAAGTACTGATATGGGTTTCTAAGTTACTTGTGAAAGGAGATAAGCAGATTTAATTCGGAGTTCTCGAAATATTGCAGTTTCTAAGTTACTTATGAAAGGAGATAAGCAGATTTAATTCAGAGTTCTCAAAATATTGCAATGTGACGACTAAGGGAAGCCAACTCTTAGGTGATGATGATGACCAAAGGAAAAAAGTAATTATCTTAGTAGATGTGTGGTAACTAGGGGTGCAACATGGGAGGGCTTGAGTTGAGCTTTTGCCGAATTTTGAATAGGCCCAGCCTGAAGCATGTAAAATGTAAACTCGGGCCCAGCCAAGTTTCACCTCTAGTGGTAACATTACAGCTAAGCATACTATGTTTTAGGGGGCGTTCGTTTTTTGGATTTTGAGAGGGGGAAAGTTGGTCAATGGGATTCACAAACCCATTGACCAAGAAGCCTATGTTCTTATTTTAGATTTATGTGGGGACCAGGGAAAATTTATTTTCCTGGGTATCACTTACCCATCTCCCAGGTGGGTAAATAATTTTCCCACCTGGGGGAAAGTTGCCGACACTTGGACGGGACAAAAATGCCCCTTTTAATAATGGATTTTTATGGCTAAAGTGGTCATTGGTTTATTTCCTTATTGTATAATGGATTTGCCAATCAACAAGGTTTCTTTATAGCAATCATAGTTTCTGAGATTTAGAAAGCATGCTGTTGTGGTGCTTGTGGAAGAACAGAAATTGTAAAACATTTGAGAACAAGAGTTATCCACCAGATCTAGTGCTTGACAGAGCTAGAGCTTTTAATACTGAATTCTTGCAGCCAAACTGCAGGTTAGAGAACCCTTCAAACAGTCAAGACAAGTTATTTCTTATTAGATGGAAGCTGCCCGACTGTGGAGAAATCAAAATAAATTTCAATTTCTCAAGGAGAGAGGATGATCATTGTGCTCTTGGTGTCATTGTGAGAGATGGGTTCAGAAAGCTTCACTTTGTCATCAGCAAGGACATAGGGGAAGCATGGGCTGCTCTCAAAGCTCATAGGATAGCAGGCTTAGCAACAAAATATTTTGGCATAATAGGATCATCATTGAAGGGATTCTAGCATAGTTATCGGTGGGGTGAAGAGAAGAATAGATCCTTCATGGAATATCAAAGCTCTCCTTGAAGAATGTCATAAAGTGTGCCAGGTCTATGGTCTAATAATCCCATACAGTCATGTACATACATTTTGAGAGAGGTGAATTATGCAGAGGACTGGTTAGCAAATTATGAGCATATTAGTCAAATTTGCTCTTTGGTTTTTAGATGTAATAGTCTTGCTTATATCTGTTTCAGTAATGCACAGGGTCATTGTACCCCGTGGCTTGTAATTTCTTCCAAAATATCAAAAGAAAAAAAGTACCTCTTCAAATGGAACAAAGACAAATGGCACAAGTCCCCTCCTGTGTGAGATTGCAGGTACATCAGGGTTGTGGGTCTCATCATCTTGCCACCCTTCAACCACACCAAGCATGTCATCATCATGGTTGTTAAGTTCATTATCATTAACACCACTTGTAACAAGGGAAAGAAGATCCATGCGATTGTTTGCTCCTGCTGTTGTTCCTCTCAACCTATTAAACAGGATAGTCAGACTTACTACCAATGGGAATATGAAGTACCTTCTACAATTTAAGAGCTTTCATTTTTGGGTGAATCAGTAGAGCAACAACATATTTTCAACTTCAGAACCAAAAGATACAAATTTATTTATTACATGATGTTAAGGGCCCGCGAATAGGATCTCGTCACAGGTTGGCTAATGGGGAAAACTTCTTGTTTTCCCTTGTTTCTCCCTTTTCTCGAGGAACATATCTTTAGCGCCTTAATGGTGATTTGTTAAAGAGATCACCAACTCTCCTCTGCTCTTTCTTGACTGAAAATATCGATAATTTTATTGAATATCATCTGCTCCTTTAAATAGGAAATTACAAGAAGGTAAGAGTCCTTCTTTAGGAAAACTTCCTAACAAACATTTATCTTTAAATAATAATGCTACTGCTTAATTAATAGGAACACTGAATTTAGCTAAGAGATAAGATAGGAACACTGAATTTAGCTAAGAGATAAGATAGCTAAGAGATAAGATAGGAACACTGAATCTAGCTAAGAGATAAGATAGGAACACTGAATTTAATGCCCATTACTGCTGCTGTTTGCGGCTGTATTTCTTTCCAATAAAAGCATCCACAACATTACTCCCCTCTTGGACTAAGAGCTCGTCCTCAATCTCGAATTCAGGATAGGTGTCCTAAAACACAGTCAAAGGAATCCAGGTAGCTTCAGCCAATGGTAAGCTGGCCCATTCCACCAGAACTTCAACAACACCTCGATTAATTCTGGAACGAACAATAGACTAAGGTTGGGGAATGATTTTGCCCTCCTTCAAAGGTGGTAAGGAGGGAACACTGATAGGAGGAACACCCTTAAACGGTTTGAGCAAGGAAATGTGGAAAACATCATGAATCCTACTGTGCTCTCGAAGTTCTAGCTTATATGCAACCTCACCGATTCGCTGCAAAACCTTGAAAGGCCCATAGAACTTAGGAGCTAATTTAGGAACAGCCCTGTGACTCAAAGAGCGCTGACGATAAGGCTGAAGTTTCAACCAAACAAACTGCCCAGGTTCAAACGATAATTCCCGATGATGCTGGTCATAGGCTTGCTTCATGCGAAGTTGTGCCTGTTGTAAGCGAAGAGAAATTTCAGCCAAAAGAGCATCTCGCTCTTGTAAGGAACGATCAATCTCCTCCAAACGAGTAGAACCAGGTTCATAGGACAACAAACGAGGAGGTTCACGACCATAAACAACTCGGAAGGGTGTCATTCCTAAAGAAGAATGATAGGTAGTGTTATAGCAATACTTGGCCCAAGGAAGCCAATCAACCCACCATCTCGGTTGATCCCCAACAAAGCAATGGAGATACATCTCAATCGTTCAATTCACCACCTTAGTTTGACCATCTGATTGAGGATGATAAGCAGAAGAAAAGGCTAAGGTGGTACCATTTAACCGAAACAATTCCCTCCAAAAGGTACTAGTAAAAACCGGGTCCCTGTCGCTGACAATAGATTCCGGTAACCCATGCAAACGAACATTGTGAGTGAAAAAAACATGGGCGACAGAAGTAGCACTGTACGGATGAGAAAGATGGATGAAATGGGCATACTTAGAGAAACAATCCACCACTACATAAAGAACTGATTTTCCTCCAACCTTGGGCAGTCCCTCTATGAAATCCATGGAAATATCAGCCCATATCTGCATTGGGATCGAAAGGGGCTGAAGAAGACCAGCTGGATGCAGATTTTTCCATTTGTGTTGTTGACAAATAGAGTAGTTTTGTATAAAGTCCCAAATAGAGGCCTTCATACCTTGCCTATGGAAATCAGCTTGGACGCGATACAATGTTTTCTGAATACCTTCATGGGTGGAGTTATGAATACTGGAGATGATGGAGGGAATCAAAGAGGAATCAGCCGGGAGATATATCCGTCCTTTATACATCACAAGCCCATCTGTAAGGGCCCAATTGGAGTCTGCAGTTCCAGACAGAATTTTCTGAACAAGAGTCATCCACTCTGTTGATTGTGGCATCTCTTTCTTGATGTCATCCAATAAGGTGACTCGAGGACGTGAAATCCCACAAAAGAGCATAGTGTCCTCTTCGCACCTAGACAATGCATCTGCGGCGCGGTTTAAAGATCCCGCCTTGTAATCCACCCGGAAATCAAACCCAAGCAGCTTGCTAACCCAATGTTGTTGGGGAGAAGTAATAAGTCGCTGCTCCAACAAGTACTTGAGGCTATAGTGATCAGTTTTGACAACAAATAATCTTCCCCACAAGTATGGTCTCCAGTGTTGGACTGCTCTAGCTAACCCAATCAATTCGCGTACATAGGCTGGCAATTTCAAATGACGATCAACTAGTTTACGACTGAAGAAAGCAATCGGGTGCCCTTGTTGCTGTAATACGGCACCAATCCCTATTCCGAATGCATCACACTCAACTGTAAACTCAAGATCAAAGTTCGGTAATTGCAAAACTGGAATGGTGGAGATGGCATTCTTTAAATTTTCAAAAGTCGTGTCAACTGCATTATCCCAATGAAAGGCATTCTTCCTCAGTAGGTTGGTTAATGGGACAGCCATCACGCCATAATTCTGTACATATTTGTGGTAATATCCTGTCAAACCGAGGAACCCGCGTAGAGCCTTGGCGGATTTGGGCTTGGGCCATTCTTTGATCGCTTGAATTTTGGAATTGTCCACTGTTACACCCTTGCCGTTAATGACATGACCCAAGTAAAGGACCTGGCGCTCTCCAAAGGAGCACTTAGATCGTTTAAGGAAGAGCTTGTGTTGGCGCAGTAGCTCAAAAACAATCCTCAGATGATGCATGTGTTCTATCCATGTTTTACTGTAAACCAAAATGTCGTCAAAGAATACTAAAACAAATTTGCGAAGGTGGGACTGAAATACCTCATTCATTAAGGACTGAAATGTGGATGGGGCGTTTGTGAGACCGAACAGCATAACTAGAAACTCAAAGTGGCCATGATGCGTTCGAAAGGTAGTCTTCTCAACGTCTTCGGAAGCCATTCGAACCTGAAAGTACCCTGATCTTAGATCTAGTTTTGTGAAATACAAGGCACCATGAAGTTCATCCAATAACTCGTCCACAATGGGAATAGGAAATTTATCCTTGACAATCCGGTTATTAAGCTCCCTGTAGTCAACACAAAATCTCCAAGTACCATCCCGCTTTGCCACCAACAGGACCGGGGAAGAAAAAGGGGAATGGCTAAGGCGGATGATCCCCTGCTCCAGCATTTCATCACATTGCCTTTCTATCTCATCTTTCTGTAGGTGTGGGTAGCGATATGGCTTTACTACTACTGGTTTTAAACTCGTCACCAGAGTGATCCAGTGATCGCAAGCTCGAGAAGGAGGAAGTCCTTTGGGTTCTTGGAATACATCTGAAAAATCAGTGAGCCATTCCATGGTTGCTACGTGTGTCATTTCATCTTGGAGCACATGAACCTGTGGGTATTTGGCCTTCACCACTTTACCCTGCCAAGTGACTTGCTTCCCATTCAAGTGGAAGGTCATCGTTAGGGCGTTGAAATCCCATAGGATTGGGCCTAGAGTGATCAGCCATTTCACCCCAAGAACTACACCAAATCCATCCAAGGATAGTACAAACAAATCAGCAAAGAAGGATTCAGAATTGACCTGTATTTGGACTCCCTTACAAATGCCTGGGCTGTGTACTCTTTCACCGTTTGCTACGGCTACCTACAGTCTCAGTTTGATTTCCATTGGCAGTTCCAGCTGGAGGACAGCTTGTTCACTTACAAAATTGTGTGTGCTTCCTGAGTCAACAAGGATCGGTATTGGTTTCCCTGCTACCTGCGCTTGCAATTGCATAGTTTGAGAGGTTTTTATTCTAGTAATTGCGTGGAGAGAAATCTCGGGTTCCAATGAAGAGGGTTCATCATCATCTTCCTCTTGTTCATCCACTAGGAGGTAGAAAAGTCTCTTGCACTTGTGCCCTGCTGAGTAAAGTTCATCACAATTAAAACACCGTCCCCTCGCCCTGCGTTCCGCCATCTCAGCCCTGGACAAGCGCTTAATAGGGGGTGTAGCAATGCTGCTTCCCACACTGGATGTCAATCTGGAATTTTTGCTCGTCTGTGGTTTCTGTTCTCGGCTGGCTGCTGGAGATGGAGCCACTCCGAGTGGTTACGGGGCTGCCCATGTTGTTTGAGGCCGCCCTATACTGATACTACCGCGGTTGAGTTGCAATTTTCGTTCAAAAGCTTGAGCCAGATTCATAGCAGTAACCAGATTGGGGGGATTTTGCATCTCCACATCCACCCTCAAAGTTTCCACTAATCCCGTGATGAACATGTCAACCTGTTGGTCTGGTCGTACTGAAGATGCTCTTGCAAGGAGGGTCTGAAATTGACGCTGATACTCATCCACAGTTCCAGTCTGCTTGAGGTTGATTAGTTCGCCCAATGGATTGCTTGTTAATGGGGGCCCAACTCTGAGAAGGCAGTAGGATTTGAATTGGGTCCAACTGAGCCCAGGTTCCTCCTGCTCCAATCTATAAAACCAGAGTTGCGCCTCCTCTGTCATGTGGAATGCGGCTAATCCTACCTTGTCCCTGTCCTCTGTCTGTTGGTTAAGGAAAAACTGCTCACATCTGTACAGCCATCCCAAAGGATCTCCAGCTCCACTATAGGAAGGAAATTCCAGCCTGCTATATTTGGGAACGATTGTGGTTCCCTGGGCAACGACCTGTTGCTCGCCAGACGATTTTGCCATGTCTAGTTGGCGGTCGTCTGTGGTTGCAGCCCCTTCTGAACTCTTTTCCTTGCTGGAAAAATATAACTCCATCAAGCGCCTCAATTCTCGGACGTCGTCCTTGATCTCGCGCAAGAATATTTCTATAATTTTTTAAGGACAAAATTTACCCCCACCATATTTAAAGTTATTGATAAAAATGAGGGCTCCTTGCTGTTTTCCACGAGTTTGTGCTCCAGATCATGAACCCTAGTCTTCAATTGCTCAAAGTCACCCATGATGACTTGCTCTGATACCAAATTGTTAAGGGCCCGTGAATAGGATCTCATCACAGATCAGTTAACGGGGAAAACTTCTTGTTTTCCCTTGTTTCTCCCTTTTCTCGAGGAACCTATCTTTAGCGCCTTAATGGTGATTTGTTAAAGAGATCACCAACTCTCCTCTGCTCTTTCTTGACTGAAAATATCGATAATTTTATTGAATATCATCTGCTCCTTTAAATAGGAAGTTACAAGAAGGTAAGAGTCCTTCTTTAGGAAAACTTCCTAACAAATATTTATCTTTAAATAATAATGCTACTGCCTAATTAATAGGAACACTGAATTTAGCTAAGAGATAAGATAGAACACTAAATTTAGCTAAGAGATGAGATAGGAACATTGAATTTAGCTAAGAGATAAGATCGCTAAGAGATAAGATAGGAACACTGAATTTAGCTAAGAGATAAGATAGCTAAGAGATAAGATAGGAACACTGAATCTAGCTACGAGATAAGATAGCTAAGAGATAAGATAGGAACACTGAATCTAGCTAAGAGATAAGATAGGAACACTGAATTTAACGCCCATTACTGTTGCTGTTTGCGGCTGTATTTCTTTCCAATAAAAGCATCCACAACACATGATATCTAAAAAGATCCAGCTAACCTGACTAATATACAATGGAAATAATTCAAACAAACAATGACAGACCTTAAGCGGATTCTCAAAACAGTAGGTCTCAAGCCTGGGTATAATAGAGCAGCTTCAACCTACAAATGAAGAACAGAAATAATCAGATAACCATATAATGAATATCAGAGAAACAAAAAGCGATATGTGCATTTAATTTCTATAAGACTCAGCAATGTAAAGAATTGTACCTTATCATCAGACAATGTGTAGTGGCCGCTATAAACACAATCAGCTTTAGATGCACGAGAGTTCATGCACTTTGCCACATCTTTCACTTTTTGGGAAGAATTCTGACCAAACAGATTAATAGCATAGTAAAACAGATTCAGATGCAGAAAGAGAAGATCTTCCAAGAAATTTAAAAATGCAAATCCAGTTACAAGAAAATAACCTTGTAAAGGAACTTCCCAGATGGGAAAAACCTCATGTAGCGGAAATAGCACACCTACAAAAGCACAAAGAAAAAAAAATATGAGAATACCGATAAAACAGAAAAATCCCCCCTTTCCTTATAAATAGAATTGTCATAACCAATGCTCAGAGAACCAGACCGGGCATTGAACTAGAAAAGGGAGAGGGTCACATGTCAAAGGTTCAACCATGGTCAAACTGAGGGTCGAACCGTGATGATGTAATAAATAAAAAATAATGTTAATCAATATGAAAAAATAATGTTAATTAACATATAAAAATATTAAAAATAAGAAAATGTTGAACATTTTAAAAAGCATTCTTCAATCTTCAACATATAAACTGTTAGAGAATAAAACCTATTTAGAGACCAGACTTAACAATTTACGCTTTTAGGTTTTAATGTTTCCTTGACAGAAACAATGTTGAACATACATTTAATTTATAAATCCATATTTATAAAAATGTTTAACACTTGAACAAGTATTCTTCAACATAAAAACAATGTTCAACATTGTTTGTCTTATGACTTTATTCAAATTTAAACCTCAACCAGAAATTATAATTTATAAATCCATTTCTTACTATATTTCTCATAAGAAGGGCTTAACAATTCTGAGCTTTCATACCTGCGATCAAATTCACTCCTCACGTTTTCACCAATAGCCAATCAATGCAAACAATAGAGAATAGTAGAATGTTTTCTCCTCTCAACTCTTTTATTTATTTATTTATTTAATTTTTTTTTCTGAGAAGTAAGCGATGAGTTGGGCATACTTGCAAATCCAAGAGAGGAACGTCTAAGATAGAGAAATCCTCCAAAGCACCAAGAATAGATAGATCCAATGGAAAGGAACTAAAACTTCATAAAAATATTGGAATAAGAGAGAGGAGTGAGCTGAAAAAGGGGCTGCAGCCACTGGCTTCCCTAGCTTTTCTTCTTACTGGTTCATACAGATGAACTGAGGAAATTTCTTGAAGTTTTGAGATGAACAGAAGGAGATAAATTGAAGATTTGACAATGGAAAAGTTGCTGGGTTATGGGTTTCACAATGGAGAAGTCGCTGGGTCTGGATTGATAATGGTGATTGCAGATTTGAAGAAGAGAGGAGAAATGGAGAAGGGAGGAAGAAGAGAACGAAAAAGGGCGAAAACTAGGGATTTAAACTTTTTACATGTTTAGGGCTTTAGAGGAACAAAACAGGGTGTTTCGCTTCATCTATTTGTGGGTGGTTTTGTATTTTATTGGATTAAAAACTTAAAGAAAAAAGTGAAAAAAAAGTTGGTTATGTGAAACCGGGACATGGTTTTCACCAGTTTTTATGGTATGACCTAACTGGTCAGGGAAATGGGTCATGATTTAACCATGCAACCCATTTTGTTTCTTTTTCTTGCATCTTGATTTCTTTATTTTAACAGAATAACAGATGATGAAGGCACCCTTTTTGAAACTTGGGCTTGAGTTTGGGAAGAGTACAAATACAAATATGTACCGTGCAAAACTTGTATATTGCATTTCTAAACCTTGTATTTGCACTCTACATATTTGTATTTGCACTCTTCCCAAACTAAGCGTTGGTTACAATGGCTAAATCCACAATATTAGAAAGCTATGCCTCAAGAAGTGGACCACTTATAATATAATGCTCCACAGATCTTTTGGCGAGTCCCACTCTTAATAGATAACTGATGACATTTTTTCTAAAATTCTCACATTCTGTAATCAATGGATGCTCAATGGAAATATATATTTCTTAACATAGGTTCTCAGTATTTCTGGGGATACTAATATGCTAAGTTGGAAGAAGAGTCTGAATCACCAACAGCTGGTTAAAAACTGACCACCGCAAACAGATAGATAAATCAGATATGACTTCCTCAGAAAATTCTAAAATGGATTATTTCTCCAGACAATTGTATGTTTGGTTTTCGAAAGGAGAGAACTCAGGATTTGGTTGTTGAAGAACTCTTAGTCTTCTCAAACGAATCAACATTATTTTTTTATTTATTTTATCTATAAATTAACAGTAAGTAGAAATGAACATGTTTCTTGCACCTAGGTTTTAAAGATATTAACATAGTTTTGTTCTTATAAACATACAATAGTGGTATTTGATACTTGTTATGTAACTGAACCTCATCTAAAAAACTGAGTAATCAAATTCCATGATGCTTGAACCAGCCAAATACCTTTTCTTTCCTAGTGAATTCTGGTTAATTCTCAAAAAAAAAAAAAAAGAATCGAAAAAAAAAGAAAGAAAAGAAACAGAAGCAGAGCATACCACATGCACAGGATTGGTAACCTTCCATTCTGCAACTCCAGCACGAATGTAAGTATTCCTACTCACATAAAGTCCTACCATAGAAAAAAGAGAAACTCAGGATCACAGAGATTCCTGACAAACCTTCAAACTGGAATTGCATTACTATGAATAAATTTAGTAAAAAAAAATGAGAGTCCATGCTTGATCACGACAAATAGTGATAAACATGGTAATATAGGTTTTGGTACCTATGTTATCCAGATATGGTAAGGACACGACTGGTCAAGATGTGCATGTGGAATTCACACTAAAAATAATGCATTCAATATGACACAGCACCCTTCTAATAGGTATCTGGGTATCATAGTTCAGCATGGAATTGATGATAAATCAAGTCAGTAAATAGGTAAGTGAAACAGCATCTTCCAATGTGTACATTATTACATGTAGGATGGAATGACTTGTTACAGAAAACACCTATGGAAGGTTCAATGCCCTGTTGCAGATGACAGAAACAGAAAACCTCTTGGAAGGAAATAAATAAAAAAATCGAGGTTAAACAAGCTACCAATAGTAGAATTTACTTCTTAAGACATAAAATCTTGGTAAATGGAGAAAACTTTTGGGCCAGAACCTTTCTGTTACCCAAGGCCTTTTAAAGAGGGCCAGAAAACTGTATTTTTTTTTAATAGCCTGATCACATGTAAAGCTTTCTCTTTTATGCCATAACATGAAAGGCCCACTTGCAGGAAAGCTTGCAGAGAAAATGGTAAGCAATTGAAATTACCTAATAAAGCATACTAAAAACCTTTACAAATCTGTAAATGTAAATAACTAAATAATTGTTTAATTGGACTCTACACTTAAAAAAAAAAAAAAAACTCAAAAGTTCTCATGGAAAGACTAACCAATTTGTTTTCTGTTATTTGGACCATTCTATAGATCTGGGAGATCCAACCAACATCAGATATTTAATTTAATGGCATATTCCTGATATACACTCCAGTGTCTATGCGGCACTTTTTCATATTTCAAGTATCACAGTGATGCAACTGCTAAAATGGGGAGTGAAACTGGAACCATAAATCTATTAATAATTTGGTTTTAATAAACTTAGAGATTGAGAAAAAGAATTATGTTAAGGGAAAAAGGTTTATCCATAACAAGAAGTTACCATCAGTACGAACCCTTGGCCTTAAAAGCCACATTTTCCTCCAAGAACCATCATATTTAGACTGCAAGATCTTGTAATTTTCTGCTGGTCCAGAAAGCTTCAGAGAAAGAGGTCCTATGTTTAGCTTGGATGACATTTATACTTGGTTCAAAGGATAAAAATGTTGAAAGCAGATTATGTACCTGCCAAGCCTTTAGACATGCACTGCGCCAAAACAGAGGATTTCGAATTGTATATCTCCATTTCCGACAAACGCATGCTGCCCTGCCTAAGCTGTAAGGAGTCATTCTTGCAAAGACCTATACATGAAAATTCATAAACAGAAAAGTTTTTGAGAACTTCACTTTTATTTATTTATTTATTCTTTGATAATTGCTTTAGAGGCTTCACCAATATGTATTTATTTTTCTTTTGGAAAACAACTACCACACCAGCAAAAACAATGCGATTATACTGATGTGGCAGTTGTTTTTGGTTTGAAAAGAAAAATCAGACATATGGGCAAACACCCTTCAAGAGTTTAAACCAAAGAACAACAGAACAAGGTTTTAAAGTTCTAAATTACCAGAAGTCTGGTTTTCCAATTCCAAGAGTGTCCAGCAAGAGATCCATAAAATGTAATAAATGATTAATTTGGGCAAAATGGAAAACTAAAAAGGGGAGTGGGAAAATAAAGAGCAAAATAGGGAAGATGGAAAAGGAACATAATTTGTTTTTTGAATAATATAGAAGATAATAAATTGAACTTCCTTATTTCTTCAGCAAAAAAGTTCACGGGTTCTCAGAAAAATTGAGTCGGTTTCAATTCCAAGCCAAGTTGAAAACCAAGTTTTTTTTGTTTGATTTTAAGGTGAACCCTTGATAAGGTACCACCATTTCTTGTTTTATATTTTGGAGATAGAATTCAAAAGCCTGTAAAAGGTATTGAACAACTTTTGCAAGAACAGTGAAAGTGGAAGTAGGATAACACCCATGGTCTATGCTCAAGCATGATTATCTAAAACCTATAAGTCAAATATGTCAAGAAATGACAGAAATAAAATGAGATACAGTCAGTATAGCATCCAAAAGAAATAATGTGGAATTGGTAGCAGTAAAAGAGTTTCAAACAAGTATATACTCACAATTCTAAATTTCAAGTTGGCTCAAATTCAGACCATTGAGATGCAACTAATAACTGAAATGCAAGAAAAACACTTCTTAAAGAAGAAGGCCTCTACTGTGGGGAAAGCATTTTTTAACAAGTCTTAACAACTTTCAAATGCTCAAAAACGTATATCATTCAATACCATAGACCATAGAGATATTATGGCATCAATGTCTTAAACATCCTGAAATACATTACCTCAAAGAGTAGCTCATCAGGCAAGCAACGATGAATAAGTGCTGGATCAACGAAAGGTTTACTACTCGTACTTCCGAAAGGAGCAACAGGTCTAACTCTCTTTCCATAAAGATCTAGAGCACAAGAGAAAAACATAAAAAAGTAATCACACATTTGATCTTTGTAGGTTTTGAAATCCGCAAATACAGCATTAATGAGATAAACAATCATTTTAAAGTCTCAGTCGTCACGCAGCTATCATGAAGCAGAAAAAAAAAAATCACAAACAGAGCAGGAAATAGGATTGAAATGGAAAAGGAAATGAATACTGTGGCATTAAGAAGGCATACCAAGCCAGGGCCTTTGTGTCACTAGGAACTGCACAGTTCTCAAACGAGAAGCCAATTCGACTTCTGCAGGAATTGACAAGGCACACTCTGCAAAAGATTATAAACATTTAAGAGATAAACAACATGACTTACAAAATAATGAAGCCACACAACACAACTATCACCGAAACACAATTGATTCTCCATTTTAATACATGCCAATTTTCCTTATTTTCCGAAATCCCACATCAAATTGAACATAATTTCGATAATAAATCTTTGCCCAGATAAGGAAAAATGGAGAAATTGAATCCGCTCGCTGAAATAAGAGATGGGCATCACGTAAAATTTAGGATTTTTCGCTGTTTCTCTGTATCTTCGATTGAAAAATTAAGCCTTATCTTATGAAAGTATGCAAATTTCTAGCTTGGGTTCATCGAATTCCATGGAAACAAAATGAAATTTTGGAATTCCAGGAACATTACCTGATGTCATGATTTCATGACAAGAGAAGATCGAGGATGTTTCTTGTTCTGGGGAGAATTCTAGGTCGAAGCCCTGGTCTCCAAAGAATTTCGAGTGTGTGAAAGGAAGAAGAATACAAATGGAACGAAAATATATAAACCTGCTCGTACACCGCTTCCGCAATCATAGCCCATCAAAATATAGGCCCTTACTATAATCGCAGCCGCCGAATTTGCGGAAGCCTGACGAAAAATGTTTGATTTGAATATTCCGTGTTTACCAGACGTCAAATTGGAATCATATATTCTCAATCAGAACAAAATAACCGTAAACCTTAAACCATATGCGCCGTGAGTAGCTGTGCTTGATGACTATATCAGAAGCTGTATAACCACTAATAACGCCCCACGTCGGTCTTGCACGTGAGGTGAGAAATTGAGTGGTTGAGAGATACGCCCCATATCAGTCGTGCACGTGAAGTGAAAAATTGAGTGGTGGATAATATCCTACACGATCTGCCGTTCTCCTCACATGGGGCATTATATACAGCCCCCAACACAGCCATCAAATTCAGCTAATCCGATCATCACATAAAATCCGGATTTTAATCACGTAATGATCCTACCCACCTTACAACAATTGCAGTTGTACACTGCGAACATTTCTCATGAATTAAAACATACAATTACAAGAGATGTTATTCATGTGTGGCTGCAACCTACTATGAGTAGGGTGAATATGTATATCTATCAATATTTTTTTTAACGAGAAACAGGAGAAATACTTATCAATTAGAAATACAGCTAAACGCCAAGACAAAGAAACTAAGGCTCCATTTGATTTTTAGGAACAAGGGTCTAGAATTGGAATCCGATTCCAATTGTTTGGTTGAGCAAAACCAGAATCATATTCCCATTCTTGTTAGAATGGCATTCTCTTATTTGAGGGAATTGATGTAGTTGAAAAGTGCTTAAGTCCCTAGAATAGCTCAGATGTATCCTATAAGGAGGAAAACGAGGTCAAAGGGCCTAGGGCGATATCCCAGGCTTGTAGCTCCGACGGTCAAGTCAGTATGTCGAGTTGTCTAGAGGGTGGTTGAGAATTCAGTGAGTTATAAAGTATGAATTGAATGCTAACCTGCCCCTTATATAGGATTCAAGATACCTGTCAGAGTATGTATGTGTTAGATAGATGTAGGACACCTGTCGTAGCTTGAGACACCCGGAGCTTGCTTTGCCTTGGTGGAGCTCGGGTAGGACACTTAGGACTCTGTCGAGACACTTGTTACTCGAGCTCGACCGCATAGTGCTCGGCCCAGACATCTATGGCTTGATTTAGGTAGCTGGTATCCAGTCGAGACACCTAGAATCCGGCTCGGGCACATGGAGCCTAATCAGGGCTACCTGTTAAGCCACCCCGTAGCATGCATTGGCCACTTGGTGCATAGCTATGACTTGCTGTGGTGATCTGTCCTCCATGTTTCCAATGTTTGAAGTGGGCCCAAAACCGGCTACTTGGTAGGCTTACCTTATGTGTTAATGGTCTTGTTGCATGTGCCGCCAAGTGGTCACTTAATGGACAAGTGTCGAAGTGTGGAGCTCTCCTGGAAGGGATATCATCTTGCTAATAAGGAAGGAGTTCTCCTAGGTGGGAGCTCGTCTCGACAGGGAGGTCTCCTTGGAGGCCAGTAATGCCTGTACATACAGGCTGAGTTGAGAAGCCCGAGGTGGTCTTATATGTCGCTAAGGTAACTCTTATCCTTTGAGGTGACGGCAAGATGATGATCTCTATGCTGAAGGCAAGGTTGTAAGTTCACCCAAATGTGCCACGTATTTGGTAGTTCGGAGGTCAGATTTACTTTCATCACTTGCCTCCCAATTCCGAAGCCGAGGTGACTAAACTCAGGTGAAGGAAGTACCTGACTATGTCCCCTATTTGGGTGTTAACTCTTTTGTTACCCCTACCTCCTTATTTGGTGACATGTTTGGGGGAGCTCTATGAAGCATTCTAACTGGAATGCACGAACTTGAAATAGTGTTGGTTAAGTACTGTCAAACTTCAAAAACATTTTAAACTGATTTAGGACCTCAAGAAGCCCAACGGTCGCAAATCTGAGCCGTTGAGACCGTTCGATCGCAACTGTTCGACATCAACCCCTTTTGGCTATAAATAGAGTCCCCAAGGGGGGACCATTTGAACATTCATCCTTGGAGTGGTCCTATTGAGGTTGGAGGTCCACTAAAGTTTGGTTTTCTTCTTGTTCCAATTTGCTCATCTTCGTTCCCAGCTTGTCCCGGGTGAGTCCTCTCTTCCCGAGTTCTTTTTTCTATTTGCTTAGTATTTCAATGTTGAGTTCCACGGTGGAAGATTTTGCTGAGATGGAGAGAGTCAAACAAATGTATAGGGAGGTCATGGAGTCAGCCTCTCAGGCTCATAGGGATTCGAGGGAACTCACCTCGGTTCCTAGTGAACACATCTCTATCCCGAACTTGCTTGTCATCAGTCCTACTGAGCTCTTTACTCCTCAATCTACCTTGGCCAACCTGTAAAGGATCTGACTTCTTTACGGGGTCCCCAATGAGTTCCAATTCAGACTTCCTACTCCCAATGAGGCCCCTTGGCACCATATTGACAATGAGGTCTGCATATTCGAGCAACACTTCATTGCGGGTTTAAGGTTCCCCTTACTTGATATAGTCATCGATGTTTTGTGTGTCTTCCTCGTTACTTTGGGGCAGCTCACCCCAAATGCCATCAGAATAATTGTTGATGTCATCTCGGCTTGTCATACACATGGCATCCCCATCGACATCCAAGCTTTCATTACTTTGTGTGTTATCAAGCACATCCTAGGGATGAGAAGTTTCTCTACTTCGCTTTTAAGTCCGGTAAGAAATTCCTTAAAGGTCTTCCTAGCAAGGTTTTAGATTGGAAGTTGAAATACTTCTTTGTTGTCCATGACGACCCTTGGCACTTCATTAAGCAGTGGGTCGCAGCTGTCACTGACCCTGAGGGCCCGCTCTTGTCATCGGAGGCACAAAATCAATTACAAGAGCTTGCACGTCTCAGGTTGAAGATAGATGATTACTTGACCGAGGATGCTCTCCTGCGAGCTGGCCTATGCCAAGGATGCTGAGGTAGTTGGAACATAGTTCATGTCACTTCTCTTGCTTTCTCCTTTCTGAGTTGTTTTCAGTACTGATCCCTTTTTTTTAGATCCAGGTTCAGATATGGATCGACTTGTTAGTAGGATGACAGTTCCAAGGAGGTTGAGGCTGAAGAAGAGGAAGACCATGGAGGGTGTCATTTGAAGTCGCCGCTGTTCGACTTTCCACTAGCTCGATGGTGGTCATTACTTTGGAAGATGAAGTTTCCCTAGCTTCTGCAACCGAGGTGAAGGCTCAGTGGGAGGGAACCCCAACACACCTTCCTTCTGAAGTGGTTTTGAGAATTACTGCTCGGTCTCCCTCCTCAACTCTGACAATAGAGGGCATCT